GGGACACGCGCCGGCATTACCAGGCGCACGGAAAAAGAGCCCTCATGCAGGGAGCATGCTCTCCCTCCATCCTTCCCTCACAAGTGCGCACGTTGTCCTCCTCTCCTCCTCCTCCTTGCAGGCCAAGGGAGACAACAACGCCAGTGTGCATCCTTCTCCCAGCGTTAGGAAGTGCATGGAGAAGGAGGGCGATGCAGGGCGCACATTTCCTAATGCCGAGAGAGGGATGCGCAGCGGCATTGCCGGGCACGTGGGAAAAGAGGCCTCGTGCATGCCTCTTTTGTGTTTCATCTTGGGTGCTATCTTTGAAATGTGTCATTGTGTATGTAAACAGCTATCCCATGATCCCAAACATTTTATTTATTTATTTACAGTATTTGTATACCGCTTTTCTCACCCTCAGGAGGACTCAAAGTGATTTACACACTCTAGTTCAAAGCACTTTGGATCAGGGATACTCAACCTGTATTACATTACAAACTGCTAGACCGGCTGTTAGGTATTGTGGGAGTTGAAGTCCGAAACACCTGGAGGGCTGAAGTTTGCTCTTGCATGTGCTTGACCCAGAAGCAGATGAAGAGCCCTCCTTCCATCCAACTGCCACTGCTTTGGCCTTAGAGAAACAGGTGGCATGTGAAGCCATGGAGCCCTTCCAGACAGGCCCTATGCCGCATTATCACAGGGTGTTTACGCCCTACACCACTGGAAAAATTATACTGCCTAGCCGGTATTGCGCCACCTGACATCCGCCGGGAAGTGGCGGCCAATAGTGAAAGGACCAAGGCAGAGACATCTCCAGCTCATCCCCTGTTTGGGTATCAGCCAGCACGTCAACGACTTAAATCTAGAAATAGTTTTCTAAGATCTACAGAGACACTCGCTGGAACACCTCAGCAAGCGAGAGTCCAAAAGTGGCAGGCTCAAACCCAGAACCTCAACCAATGGCTGATACCAGATGAGAGACTCCCCCCTGGCACACAGAGGACTGGGCGACTTGGAAGGCGCTGAACAGACTGCGCTCTGGCACCACGAGATGCAGAGCCAACCTTCAGAAATGGGGCCACAAAGTGGAATCCTCGACGTGCGAGTGTGGAGAGGAGCAAACCACTGACCACCTGCTGCAATGAACCCTGAGCCCTGCCACATGCACAAGGGAGGACCTTCTTGCGGCAACACCAGAAGCACTCCAAGTGGCCAGATACTGATCAAAGGACATTTAATCAACTACCATACTCACAAATTTTGTAATCTGCTTGTTTTGCTTTGTTCTGTTAGAAATGTAACATAATTTGACTGGTTGTTCTGACATGACAAATAAATAAATAAATCCCAGGTTTTCAGCTTTAAACTGGATCATATGAGTCCACTCTGCCAGATAATCCAGGATAAACAGAAAACCTGCAATCACATCCTGGGATATAGGGCCTGTCTGGACAGGCCCTTCATCCCTTCCCACACTGGCATCCCTTTGCCTTTGTGTCATGTTTTAATTAAATTATACACCTAAGGGCAGGGGAGCATTTTGTTGTTGCTTTACTCGTACAGTGACAGTGTTACACAGTTGGTGTTCTGCAACCACTGCTTCAACCATCCATGGTTTGAAAACATTTTTTTTAAAAAAAATCCCAAAGCAGTCTTTGATTTTGCCACTTTGTACTGTGGAAATATAAATATAGAGCTCCATAGTGTCTCGTCCAACAGCAGTTGGGATTGAGCCCTGGAACTGATGGAAGGATAAGTGGAAGGACAAGAGTTAGCAACCCAAAAGACACTGCTGCAAAATGTAATTGCTAAAATATCAAAGTCAAAATATTATCCAAATTTAAACTATTTGGCCAGCAATGGAAAGGAATCACACAGGATCATATTTTTGCAGTCCATTAAGTGTGTTGATGACAAATCAGATAAAGGAATACTGGGGAAATTAATATAAAGCAGTGTGTATAAAGGGACATTACATTTGGTAATCTAATGCAGGCTTTAAAAGGTTTTAAAGATCAAGTCAGGGTCTGCTGCAGTTTTTAGTTTTGGATATGTTTTTTATGGATTTTAACTGAATTTTTAAAATACCAATGATATTTAATTCCATTTTAATGTTTGCATATTTGTGGATTTTAAACTGTACTGAAATGTTTTTAATCTAAGCCAACTTGAGTCTTCTTGGGGAGAGAAAAAGCAGGGTATAAATAAACATAATAATGTGTTGTGGAAGGCTTTCATGGCCAGAATCACTGAGTTGCTGTGAGTTTTCTGGGCTGTATGGCCATGTTCCAGAAGCATTCTCTCCTGACATTTTCCCCACATCTATGGCAGGCAATCTCAGAGGAACAAAATCTGGCTACCAGTACCCTCTAAAATAACCCTCTAAAATCAGAACAATAAATAAAGAGCAACACTAAAAAAGGGGGGAATTCCTGACATGAAGCAATCAGGGCCAGTTAACCGCTCCCAACAAAGGATTCCTGGGCAGCAACTAGCTCGGCTTCGAAGCTGCAAGGCCATTAAATACTCATCAAGATGACCAATTGCAACATTCACACTTACCTCAAGCAGACATGAGTTCTTTTTCCCACCCTGGACATTCCACAGATATACAAACCCCACTTGCCTAGTTACAAACAGACCTCACAGCCTCTTGAGGATGCCTGCCATAGATGTGGGTGAAACATCAGGTGAGAATGCACCAAAGAGCACCAAAAGAGCATTCTGAACTCCACCAATAATAGAACTGAACCAAACTTGGCATACAGGACTTCCATGACTAACAGAAAATACTGGAGAGGGGGTTGGGAAAAATAGACCCTGACATTTGGGAATTGCAGTTTACCAAGCACCAAAGAACATTCTGAGCTCCACCAACAATAGAATTGAACCAAACTTGGCATATAGGACTTCCATTACCAAATACTAGAGGGGTTTGGGGGAGGCATGTACAAAAGATGACATTTGCAGTACCTTTTGACGAGGCCTCCTTGCTGCCCTGAGAGGGGTCCAGCTCAGCTGCAGGGAAGGAAAGGGAAAGCGAAAGAGCCTGGCTGGCTGCCTCCTGGCAGCACGTGGAGGGAGGACTTCCCTCTCGCCTAGTGGGCGGGGCCTGCGCTTCTCCATTAGAAGGCTGTTGAGGGCGCATGGGGCCTGCAGGAGGAGGCGTGGCCTAAGGACAGAACAGCGCCCCCTGGCAAAAAAAGTATTCCGCGACCGCTTACTTCGAGTAATGGACGGGCCGGCCCTGTGTGTCTTCACATTTGACATGTATCCAATCTCTTTAGGCTATATTTCAGAGGAAGGAACTGATGAAACCACCTCTGATTATTTCTTGCAGAAGAAAATCCTATGAAATTAATGGGGGCACCATAGGTTGACAGGGAACTTGAAGTCACGTACACACACAATATGTTATTTTTTTAAAAAAATAAAGCACTGGGAATATCTAGAGGATTTATAACTCTGGAAATCCCAGGAACAACCAAAGGACTAAACTAGATCAAGGTCCCCCAAAATGTTTTTTTTTTAATATTGCCCATTTAAAATGGCAGCATGAGACTCAAAATCAAACCCAAACATGCCACAGATCAAAGCTTGGAAAATTTACTTTCCCCCTACAACTGCTAGCATCCTCCAGTCAGCATGGAAGACTGAGGATTCTAGACATTGTCGTCCAAAAATAATTTCCTCAACTCTGCCAATACATTAACTTTTCCTTCCTTGTTGTAAGCTATGATGAAGCTATTTTGTTTGTTTATTTCGATACTATGACAAGCGACAACTGGAGATGGGAAGAAATCTGATTGCATAGTTCACAAATTACATATAGTTTGGGTCTGATCCTTTAAGAGGGTCCACCCTTAAAACCTAGAAAACAGGCAACTCTAGGGCAAACTATCCATTACATCATTCATGCTTTTTAAAAAGTTGTTTAAACTGTACAGTCTCATTCTGGAAGCAAAATTCAGGCACAGTGGCCCCAGCCTGATACATACTGCCAGTCTGGTGGAGAAGAGGTGCTAAGCTGCTTTTAATAAATAATGCAAAACCTTTGAAGGCCTCATTTCCAGTTTGATGACAAATGCAAACTTTTTATAATAAGTAATTGAGGCATTCTCTCACCTTCCTGAAGTGGAAGATACAACCAGTACTGCCACACACCTTCAGAGGTCTCTTCTACACAGTCATTATATCCCAGGATTTGATCCCAAGTTATCTGCTTTGAACTGGATTAAATGAGTTTCCACTGCCACATAATCTGGGATAAATAGACAATCCGGGATCAGATCCTTGAATATAGGGCAGTGTAGAAAGGGCCTGAGATAGGATAATGAGCAGGAAAGTTTGTCCTTTAAACATACATTTGTTTGAGGGAATGCAGCTGACATTCTTAATATGATAGGCCTTCATGTCACACCTGTGTGTACTGCTCTCAGAGACACCAAATGAAACTATTCTGTATGCAAATAGCAGACTCCTCTCAGTTCTTATTTATAAAGAGAAGCTCATATTGAGTAAGCCTCACATAGCTTCCTGACACATGAGCAAACTAAGTGAATGGAAGGTGAGATGATCATAAATCTTCTAAATGATGCCATGCTCAAATCAGCATCCATGGTTAGCACTACTAGCACAGTCCTAACCAAGTAGTACAAATCCTATGAAGGTCTGGTAAGGTTAGGTTGCAAGGATAGTAATATAAATCAAATGATATTCTTTGCTTATGACCGCACTGGCTTTTGTAATTGTATGATCTGTATTTTAATGTATTTTTGTATTAATGTATTATGATGCTATTATGTTTATTCTATGTGAGTATGAATTTTCTGCTGTTAGCCAGCCTGAGTCCCTCTTCGGAGGTCGAGAAGACCGGGTTATAAAAGCTCTAAATAAATAAATAAAATAATTATGAAAATTATAATTCTGCCTGAAATGTAATAAAATGGCAGCACCCACAAAACTGCAAGAATTCTGGGGGAAGTTTTATTTCATAAAAAATAGGGAGCAAAGATTAAAGATTAAGAGGGATGCTCCCCTGTATTTTCAGTTCCTACATTTTCCCCAGGCTTTTGTTTCAGGCATCCTATCAGCAGCACAAATCCCAGCATCTCCACCTGGTGTCACACCAATTCTCCATAGCATTGCTCTCCTTTGCAGTCTGTGCATGGAAATGTGTCTGGAATGATGTGTAGCTCTGAGGTGAACACATGGGTATGGCCCCCAGGTCCTGGGAAAGTGACCTGTAAAACAAATTGCAACTTTCTCAATGCTTCATGTCGCAAAAATCAGGAAGGTAAGCTGCATGTGTAGCATGGGGACATTCCCAAGTGTTAATTGAACTGTAGTATGTAAAAAAAACAAGAGCCAGTATATATACAGTATATAAGAAACAAGGTCCGACTAGTGCAGTGGTTTGAGTATTGATTGACAATCCTGGGGGCCAAGGTTCAAATCCTGTTCATCCATGGCAGTCCTCTTGGGTAAGTCATATTCTCTTGACTTCAAAGGAAGGCAAAAGCAAATTTCCCAAATCTTGCCCAGAGAAACCTGTGATAGGGTCATCTTTGGGTCATCATAAGTCAGAAACTACTCAGAGACACAGAACAAGGGTAAAAAATAGATCTTATACCTGCCACTACATTTTAAAACTTGTCTGATCTTGGAAGTTAGGCAGGGTCAGCCCCGGCTAGCACTTTAATGTGAGGATGCCAACAAATAGCAGGAAGTGGCAAAACTGCCTCTGAGTATTCTTTACTTACGAAATCCCTATGAAATTCAGAGGGTCTCCATAAACTGACAGATGATTTGAAGGTACGCAAACATATCCTGGATAATGCGGGGGGGGGGGGGGGGGGGGGGGAATAACTTCAATCTGCTCCACCTCCATATGCATGAATTCTGTAGTGGGGAGTTTTCTCTCTCCAGTCAGATTTGTCATGCATCTTGTTCACCATTATCAAGATTCAACTTGATAATTACCTCTATAAAGAATCCTCTCCATCCCTTTAATGGTTTATTCACTTCTGCCTTATAAATGCCCGGTCTCTGCAAAGTCAAAAACATTGTTAATTAGCCTGCTTCTAATCATGAGGTCTAGAATGTTTATTAGTATGACATTGGTGGGATGTGTAACAAAATGTTGCAGCAAAGGGTGCTCCTATTTGGTTCAGCTCCTTTTAGCAGCCTGTTGGCATGCTACACTGTACCTTCTTTGAAGATGCTCTGGTTTCCCATCGCTCCTGCTCTCTCGCTCCACCCACCAGTAGTAGTCAGCATTTCATGGCTGTTGGGCATGCTTAGTGCTCCTTGGGCTGCTTTGAGGTTCCCGCCTTTAAAGGACTTTTCCCCCCAAATATTTTTTTTCATACATGAGAACCTTGGGATTTCTGCAGCTTTTTGACCTAGATGCACCATTTTGCCTACAGAACAATTAACCTTTAAAAGCCCAATATGGCATTGTGAGCCATAGTGCAAATACACTGCAAGAGATTTACACTCTGCCAACCACGTTTGTGAAGACAGTACAGTTCCACTTACCACTTTTTCAACACTGCATTGACACCACAGTACAGGCTGAGGTATACCGGGTCCCACAAATAACCGGAAATCCCGCCTGGAAATGACAAAGGCGAGATGCAACACTGTAAGCTGATTGCCATCAAGCTTACAATTCAGAATTTGATACTCCTTTAAGAATCCTACCTTTGAGAGCTAAGCGTGCTAGCGAAGTAACACTTGGTTGACAAGGGCTCTTGATCTGTGAAGAGATGGATAATGCCGGAAGTATTTGTCTAGGAAAGGGAGATGAAGCAAAAGAATGGTGATAATAAAGGATCTTTCTTTCATATACCAATAATTCAAGGTTATTCTGTACTGGTAGTACATGGGTTACGAACAAGATAGGTTCTGTCGGTTTGTTCTTAAGCTGAGTTTGTATGTAAGTTGTTTCAGGTATAATTTTGAACGGTAACTCTGCCATTAAAAAACAAAGATACCAAAGGAAAAGGTTAATGCTCTTCTAACATTTTGTTTTGCTATCTCTTTGTTCAGAATATTTCACCTCACTTTCTGTCCCTGTGAAAGTTGGATTTTGAAACATTTGGCTTATTGTGGAAACAAAGATTGGGGATCAAGCTTCGGTTGAGATACCCTTTGCCTCATGATAACTCTTCCAGGAGTAAATTTCCCTTCTTTGGGGCAAATTTCCTCTCACTTCCTGTTGCCTCACCCCTGTTTGTAACTAGGAGTAGTATGTAAATAAGATGTTTGCAATTTAGGAACTGTCTGAATTAGCTAACTAACTAAGCTTTTATATGCAACCACAAAACAAACCTGTATCATATTCAGACATAATAATCAGTTCCTGCTAATAATAGTTTGTTTGCTTTTTTTAGAGAAGATAAGACAGACAAGGCACTGATCTATTAAATCTGTATACAAAGAGCATTCCAGAAAAAAATACTCAAATTTTCTATCTTTTTACAGCTATACAGGTTAAGTCTATATAATACATAGGGGTTTGTTTTGGTATGGTTACAAACATGAATCCTGTATTACTAAGGCACCTTTCGGGTGTTGGAGTCTTATGAATATTTCTCCTAATGGCAGGATTATAGGAAGTAATTATTGATTTTTGCAAATTTTGATATTTGCCAGAGCAATTAACTTTGAAAATTGAGAATCTGACATTTGCCAATCAATTTGAAGCCTGGAGAAGAACAGATGTTTAATGACCAAAGTTCATGTTCATTCCCATCATTTGTCTGCAAAGAACATTTACCAAGGTTGGTGTGGAAGTATTTCTAGCAAGCCTCGTACTACAAATATTTCTGACACTGACATCCAAGTCCTGAGGCTAATCAGGTCTCTTGGTAAATGACTATGGCTTCAATTCTTCTGGGGCACCATACTAGTGGTTGCAGTTTTTTCTTGTGCTGGCTATTATTATTATTATTATTATTATTATTATTATTATTATCAACATTATTTATACCCTACCTTTCTCCCCGTGGAGACTCAAGGCAGCTAACAATTCTAAACTTTAATCATAATTTAAAAAGTACAATACAAAATTTTAAAAATTATATAGTACAGTATGAATCAAGGTAAAAACAGATTAAAATACAAGCATTTACATTTAAAATAGCCTGTAAAACTCACAGACCCCCCCCCCCCGTCAATTCCCATCCACAACTTGAGTCCCTCCGGGGTGAGAAAGGCAGGGTAGAAATGTCGTAAATAAATAAATAAATGACTTCCACAGCAGCCTGCCCCTTATCTTTCCCCAAAAGCCTGTTAGCAGAAGAACGCATTGACCTGCTTGCAGAAGGTCTGCAGGCATGGGGCCATCCTGGTCACTCTTGGGAGGGAGTTCCACAGTCTGGGAGCAGCCACCAAACACATTTGAGTAGGTGGGGGACAGAGAGAAGGCCCTCCCCAGTTGATAATAGATATCTCCCAGATTTATAGAAAGAGATGTGGTACTTCAGATTACCTGGACCTGCACCATATAGGACTTTGTTAGCCAAAGGACCAGAAACGTGTTGGCAGCCAGGACTAGAAACGTGTTGGCAGCCAGTGGAGCCACTGCAACAGAGGAATTGTCCGGTCCTTGTAGCCAGCCTCAGCAGTCTGGTGGCTGCTATTTGGATCAACTGAAGTTTCTGAGCACTTTTCAAAGGCATCCCACATAGAGCACATTACAGTAGTCCAACAAGGATGTAACCAAAACATGTATCACCATGGCCAGGTCTGACTTCTCCAGGAACAGGCACAGTTGGTGCACTGGCTTTAACTACCCAACATTTATTTTTTAAATTTTAAACTATTATATTTGGCCTGGCCATAGGTTTTTAAATCCTTGTGTGTTATTGTTTATATGTGATTTATATTAATTGTATTGTTTTTTGTTTATTGCTTTTCTGTTTTCTATTGTGTTGTCGGGCTTGGCCTCATGTAAGCCACTCTGAGTCCCTTGGGGAGATGGTGACGGGGTATAAATAAAGTTGTTGTTGTTGTTGTTATTATTACTACTACTATTATTATAACTGTGCAAAAGCACTTCTGATCTCTGCTGATACCTAGGCCCCCAGGTTCAGAGCCGAACCCAGGAGTATTTCCAAATTGCAAACCAGCATTTTCAGAGGGAGTGTAACCCCCATCTAACACCAGATGACCTCTCCCAGCAGTTTCATGTATATGTTGAACAGCATGGGGGACAACACAGAGCCCTGAGGGACTCGACAGGTTAATGGCCAAGGAGTTGAACATAAGTTGCCCAACACCACCTTCTGGTTACAGCCCTCCAGGAAGGAATAGAGCCACTGAAGAACAGTACCTCCTAGTCCCATTCTAGAAAAGCAACCCAGAAGGATACTGTGGTGTACCTGAAAGATCTGGGAGAGCCAACAAGAACACATTCCCCCATCTAGTTCTCTTCATAGGTAATCCACCAAGGCAAATCCACTAAAGCTGTCTCTGTCCCATAACCAGGCCTGTAACTAGACTGAAATGAATCTAAATAATCTGTTTCATCCAGGAACCTTTGGAGTTGCGAGGCCACCACACTCCAGTACCTTGCCCAGAAGGAGATTGGAGGCTGGTCTGTACTTGTCCAGTACAGTGGGGTCTAGGAAAGGGAAAACTGGCAAAATCAGCTGACTCCAAGGGGTTCCTTCATGGTCTTTATTACCTTACTTATCCTGGTAAGTCGTAGCAGCAAGATTATAATTCAAATATCATTCCATTAACTAATTCTTGAACCAGGCAATTCAACATGTTATTGTTTATACTGATGGCTGATGTGATTACTTCTCACCTCAGTCCTGTTCCAGGTGATTTGGGGCCTTCTCAGGTTTTGCATGGTGCTGACATAAAAGGCTTTGAGTGAGTCCAGGAGAGTTACCCTTTGGCCCAAAAGAAGAGTATGAGCATGACCAATATTGGGAACAATCCTGCAAACCAATAACAAGACATTCTCAAAGTCTACTCAACACAAGTGAACACACAGAAAATAACTTCCAAGCTAGAACAAATGGGGGGGGGGGATTTGGGGTGGTGGATTCTCTATGCTGCTGAAATGGAGCCCCATGGAGTCCCGTTGTCCTGCGTCATATGGTAGACTCCATGGGACTCAATTTTAGCAGTGTAGAGAAAAGTGGGGAAGATGCAGAGAAGATCGTGTCTGATGAGGTTGCAAAAGTTACTTCATCAGATGCATGGATTTTGAGACAGCAATTCACCGGAAAAGTTTCTCTCCCATCAGCTGAGAAAAGTAATAGTGTGAATCATCAGGCTGAAAAAATTCATCTCCTGTTGCCACACTGATGTACTTGGCCTGCATACTGTATCGTCCATTGTACTCTAGAAGGGAAAAACAAAGTGTTAGTTTAAAGGAAGGCATGTCCACTTCTCACTTTAAAAAGATATCAAGACAGAGCAGATGAGTAGAAAATGGCACAATGCAATGAAGGAAAACTAATTCCTTGAATAGGTTTATCTATTCAAAATGGTGTGCATGTAACAGAAAGCATCAAAGCTATCTCAGTGCATGAATACAACTCTGGATTTATAGAAGGCTAAAGGGCAAATATTAAGATACAGTGGTGAAAAGCATTCTGCATATATAATATCTGTGCCTTGACATCTTTCTTAGGATAATTGCGTGTCAATGATTCTGAATCAACTAAAAAGGAAATAATCATGATTGCCATTTGTTCCTCTCAAACTAATGTTCCTCAACACAGTGCTATTCATATTTTTTACACCACCACTCCCATTAGCTAATATGAGCAGTGGCCAGTAATGACAGAAACTGTATTCCAACTCAAAGTTAAAGAAAGATGTATTAGTCCCTTTCCATTGTTCTCCTCCAGAAGTAAGGTTGGATCTTTTGGGCAATGAAATCCCAGGAAGGAAGGTGCCATTAGGCATGAAGGCTGGATTTGTGTGCCCACATGTGATACCCACATCCTTGAGGGTTCCATGCTTCCCAATGTGGACAGATACAAATGATCTCATGTATATGAGGCATGGTGGCAGTTCATGAAGGCAAATGGAAGAGTAAAAGGGGGTTGATTTCATGACCTGGATGCTTGATTTCTCTATCACATTCTCTTCCAGGATCCCTATGGTCACTCAGGCCCCTTCTACTCTGCTATATAAAATCCAGACTATCTGCTTTGACCTGGATTATATGGCAGTGAAGACTCATATAGTCAAGTTCAAATCAGATAATCTGGATTATCTGATTTGATAATCTGGATGATATGGCAGTATAGAAGTGGCCTCAGTAATTTCTGCTTGAACATACTCATTCACACCATTTCACTTTTTCTTTCTTTCCTTCTTCTTTCTCCCAGAAATGTAATCATATACGAACTACTCACCAAGAGGGTCTATATGTGATGCCATTTCCTTGAACCGGGGTTTATCCAACTGTTGAGTTATGTTTGTATCACGTAAAGGCCTCAGTAAAAAAGTCCATCCACAATATGATCGGTATTGGTGGTGCAAATTCTGCCCCAAACCAAATAAATATGAGCTTTGGAATATATGTGGTGACACAGAGCATAGCTCTTGCATTTTAATAATCTGTGATAATATAATTTGGAGAGTAGGTATACACATAACTTCGTCTCATACAGTGCCAACTTCCTGGCTTTCAATATCTTATGGTTACTGCAGTATAATAAACTTCAGTGCAAAACTAAACCTACATTTTGGAAGTGGGGTGGAATTGATAGGCACTTCCTTATCTTTCAGTTAATAAGTCAAAATATTTATGTTTCCTATTCCAGTATCTCATCACTGAAATGCCAAGCATGTACATTTGTAGCAAAACACATCCTTCTTATCTTCTGCTTCTCGGACCACACTATGTTATTCTGCTTATTACTGAATGGAACTATACAGTTTCTATTAGTCTGCTTAATGAAACTGTGCAATTCTAAAATCGGCATAATGGTTCCAGAAATGAAAATATTTTTTTCAAAGTCACCATAAAGGAGGAGTGCAAATAATGCAACTTTCTAAATGTTATTGGATGGCAACTGACAGCAGTCCTAGATAGCAGGGCCAAAGATGAAGAATGCTGGGGGTTGCAGCTCAAACACACATGATTCTCATCCCTGATCTAAGGTTGAGTTTATGGGAAAGTGTCAGAGTGCTCCTAACTGCTTCTAGGGTGGAGAGGTCACACAGTAAGTATGTCTACAGTATTTGTTAGCTCCCTACTAGCTGATTTCATTGGCTTTTAAATCTACCTCTGTTCTGAGTATTACCATTTGGTGCTTCATAATCCCTCCTCCCCCAATAAGTGCAGTAGAAATGTGCTGGTAAGGTTCTTGGATCACTCAACAGATTAGTTATCAATTGATAAAGCTTCAAGTCCTTGCTCTTCTCACCTGCTCCCCAGCATCACACCATCTTGGTGTCTTTCTATGTGATCAGGTTTTCCTCATCCTTATTAATATTTCTGGATCATTCTGAAATGTGCCAAAATGTGCCACTCCAATCCTGAGTTCAGAGAACTTGATCCAAATCAGCCCGATTTGCTTTGTTACTTGCGATTCGGCCAAATCAATTTTACAGTTGTTCACTGAAGCAGGACAGCCAGTGTGGTGTAATGGTTTGACCATTGAACGATGGGTTCAAATCCCACTCAGCCATGAATCCCACTCAGCCAGGGTTCGAATCCCACTCTGGACTTGGGCATGCCATACACTTTCAGCCTCAGTGGAAAGCCATGGCCAAGGCAACCCCTTCTGAACAAATCTTGTCACAAAGGCCCCGTGATAGTCGTAGGGTCACTATAAATCGAAAATGACTTAAAGGCACACAAGAACAACGCTTACCAGAGTTCATCCATATGGATTGTTATCACTTACTTGACTCCTAACTGTATGTGGCAGTCTTTCTTTAGCCACTCATTCATCATATTTACTGCCTACTGATTTTCCAGTTCTGAAGCAATAGGGAGGGGAAACTCACCTTCCTCATATTCAAAAGATCAGCAAGGAATGGGAAAAAAGAAACCACCCTGTTGTCCACGGCTGCAGTGAGCCAGGAGCTCCAGCCACGCTGCAACAAAGAGACAAAAAGATAATAAGCAAATAACTGGATTGTACCTTGCCCAGGATAAAGAGGTAATTGGGATAAAGAAGAGATCCACAGTACCTTGGAAATGCCTGCTAATGTAAACTTTGTGATATTCATCTTCCCATTGGATTCATTCATCAGGAAAGCAGTTATAGTATCCATAGCTCTCACAGTAGCCTGCACATGAGAAGAGAGAACTGTATCTTTTGGCATTGGGTTGAAAGATTGTTCCTTTACTAAGCTTTGATCACTAAGAACATTATTACTCTAAAAATGTGATGTAGAATCCTCAGTAATCCACATTGTCAAAAACACAATATAAAAATTTTCAAAATTATATTCCGCACATGATTCTATGTCTTGTTCTCACTATTGTTCCTGTTGGGAATTCAGGGGAAAACAACTCTAAAATTAGCATTCAACGGGGATGTCCCTTCATGCTAGCAAGAACTGGATGGGCAGAACTATCATTATTTTAATGTGAGTTATCTGATTTGAGTAATCCAGAAGTGGGAAACAAATGCCATTTAAGCCATTTTAAAAGAAGACCCAGAAGTCTCAGTTTCCCTCCATCCTTGAGTTTCATACAAAACACAAGTAACTAATTTATTAATACAAGAACGAGGAGAGTCTGAAAACCCATCTAAACTGACCATATAATCCAGTTTCTGACTGCAGACTATCTGCTTTAAACAGGATTATATGAGTCTATGTTGCTATATATTCTAGTTTAAAGCAGATTATCTGTGAAATGGTGGAAATCCAAGTGCAGTGATCAACACAAATCCATGCATCCTACCATTTCACAGATCCTCATGTCTCTCCAGCCTTGTGTCTTGTTTGTTCACTTGTTGTTGAATTCTGCATAAGATGTGAGGATAAGAGAGACTGAGGCTCTGAGAGATTGGGGGGAAATACAGCTATCTGTTTTCTACAGGACATCTCCAAGAAGCCTGCCAGAACTCCTGTTTCTGCTTTGTAAACTAACACAAAGGAGCACCACAGTTGTTGCCTCAATGCTGAAAGCAGGACCTGGTGGCAAAAAGTTACCTATTTTAGAGGATTTCAGATTTCTGAATAAGGGAGGTTCAACCCAGACCTTATTTTAAGAACAAAAAAATTGGATTATCACATACTTCTGCTGACAGTTGGGTCCCCTCTCCCCAAGGTTGTTAGAAATAGGCAACCTATATAAAAATATATATTGCACATTGGCATAGTCTCTGTTCCTAATAGTTCAGAGTCACCCGGCAGCTGAAAACCAATTGCCAGGCATAAATACAAGTGGTTACCATTTATTTTCTTAAAAGATATAAAATTATGGTTTTCCCAATTGGTCATGATTTAAAAGGTTATGATCCTAGCAAGTCATAATCCTTCGTTTGGTTATGTGACCAGTGATTATCCAATATCCAATAAAGGCAGTTTTGTTATTATAATTACTTCTTAATGCATTTTCATCACATTAGGTGCAGTTACTCATACACAGATCTTTTGTATAGACATTTGTATACAACTCTGATGTATATTTTACATAAAATGTAATTCTTTGCTATATTAATTATCCTGCTATCTACAGTAAGAGGCGTAAACTCTTCAGAGGAGAAGTCAAAAATATAATTGCTTATGTCTGGCCCAACTTCTGTTCTATACACTCTTTATCTCTTTTGTGAAAGAAAGAAAGCGCATTTCAAAAGTCTTTCCTCGACTCCAGCTTTTAGATCTTACTTCCTACCTTGGTTATTTTGCTGAGTTCCTAGACATTGACCTGGCTTAGAGGCTATTCACTACAGCCTCACACCCAGAAGCAGGATAGACTCAAACTATTGGAAGATGCCTCTGTGGGCCAGGTAAGTGTTAGGAACTTGTGCTCATTCTATGAGCACGAAAAGCTAACTGTAAGTATCTAAGAGGTCTGGGGGTACCTGATTAAACAGCACACACAGGCAAATAGCAGAGGTTTAGTTCCAAAATCAGGAATGCTTTTTATATTACAGTTCAGTAACACAAACAGCTTTGTACTATAATCACTTTCTCTCCTTCTCTTACTCTCAGCAAATTCTCCAACGTAGATCTCTCACTTCAACGTGCAGGAACAACACAAACCACCACCACCATGTTGGCTGTCCTGCTTTATACAAAACCCAGCCAAATCACACATTGTTTTGCATCATCCCTGGTGCTTTGGTATTACCTCATGGTTTTATCAGACACTTAAACTTCCCTTGTCATTTTGAACTTGCAATTAGCCACCTGGATATGCTGTCATACTTGGTTTCCTGCCAAATCCTGACAGTTAGCCCAACCTTTCTAGTCCTCTTCAGTTGCTCACCTACACTACCTGGGCAACTATGAGATGATGGGCAACTGGTAGGTTGTCTTTGGGCTACATGACATTTAGCCAAGAAAGTGTTGTAGCCTGTTCTTAATAATAACTGAATCCGTACGTGTGTGTTGCCATTCTCCTAGTGGGTGCAATAGCAAGAAATTACATTGTATAAGAATTTAACATTTCCTCAAGTTTGAAGAAAAGCCAAGAAAAATTAATATATTCCTTTATGTTCCAGAATTAATGGAGTCATATAGCAGCACAATATTATAAAAAATTGGATTCTGGAGCTGCCATGTCTGTTTTCAATGTGATTCTAGCCCTTGATCCAGATCAGCAAGCCCTTTAATCAAGAGGTACTATAGAGTGACTCTGAATAAATTATGGTGCAAGGCAAGTTGTTCTGGAAGAGCCTGCTTTCTTTCTTTATTCCTGGAAACACAACCACCTATTCCAATGATTATGCCATCAAGATAGCAGTTAATTTATCTTTCTCATTAATTTGTGTTTGGCTAAATGCCTACAAGTCATCTTATTCTTAAGCAAGCAGAGCCAAGTCTCACTTTTCCAAGTTCTCAACTGTCTTCCCTACTCTGGAATATAGGCAGGACACAGTTACCTTGACCATCGGGAATTGTAACAGTGTGTGTGGCCGAGCAGTCTTGTCATTGAGAAATTTCCACCATGAACAACTCAGTCCTCCATCAGAAGAGCTTTTCTTGCATTCTTCGATGGGAATTTTCTAAAATTAATTGGGGGGGGGGGGGGGGGAGAGAAAGAGATCAAAGCTGAGTTTGCTTTGGTTCATCCCTTCAGGATCCATCAGAGAATCTGACAATTCTATCTAGATTAGTTCATATCCATTTGCTTTGTGAGGAATGAAAACACTTTTTCAGCCAGAGGCACAATGGGAGCAATGCTAGCCCACTGGATTATTGTCATATCATGCAGGGCAAATCAACATAAAAGTAGAATTGGGAGAAGGGAAGGAAAGGAAGAGAAAAGGATAAAGATCAGTTCCTTGAACATGGCACTGTGCCAGAAGCAGCAGGCACCAGAATACCATTCATTTTGGGCTGGTTTTCCCTGGTTTGTGGTCTTGCTTCGACACCAGCTAGCGACTCTTGAGCCTTTGATCCAGAGATATTTTTTCTTTCTGCTGGTACTCTTTTTAGTAAGAAGTGGAGGGGGGTGATCACAGTGCAGCTTCCCCTTTTCTGCCAGAGATTTATGCAAATTAACATAGTTTTAGCCTTGTAGGTATATGGATAGTATACATGTAAACTGGGCTTACAAAATGTTTTTGTGATTATATCTAAAGACAACAATATTTTTAATACAAAAATACATTTACGTGAAATACTGCACAAAACTTAATAGATACTAGGCTTGGTTGATTAAAAAATTGGTTCAAAACTCATTTCAGATTTAGGGGGCACTGGTGGTTCAATTCTAAAGTCACTTCCAAATTTTTCTAAAAAAAAGTTAGAATGTTCTGAAACTTCTGAAACTTCCGAATTGATTCATTAATGGCTGATGTGATTGCGCAATACACGGAAAACAGCACTGGCACTGGGGAAACTCCAGGGCCTTCTCCCTCACTCATTTTTACACCAATCTGGATGAAACTTGATATACCACTACAACACATCCTCCTCTGCTAGCATACCAAATTTCAACATGTCCAGACAATCCACCATTTTAAAAGAATTTTTAAAAACAATTTTATAAATAATTTATTGAAATAAAAATAAAACATCTACCTCCTTGAATTTTTAAGGAAATGACAAAAGGTAATAGGGGATCACTCCCCCCTATGCTTCATCATAGTTCCGACTCACTTCCACATCCCTGAAATCACGCAAGGCGAGTTGAAATTATAGGGGACTACAGCCTCACGGAAACGTGGCAGAAGTCCCGTCAGAAGCAAAAACATGCAATTTCCCCCCCCCCCCCGAATTACACCACATCTGAGAGAACCTACCAAACCCTAATAGACGCTCATTTTGGTGTCACTCACTCTGTGTTGCTCAGTGAGGTCTGCACCCCACTGGTTTAATACAACAACATTAAAATCTTCACTGATGAATTTATGCTTTATTAAGCATGAGGAGTGCAGGTGGCTATTGGACACCCGTAGCTGGTTCTGCATAGGAAATGCCTGTAGCTCTCTGCAATGAGAGCATGACAAATTCTGGCGCATTTGTATTCTTGACTTACATAGAAGGTGTTTGGCTGGTTTGGGATCTGCCTCAATAGAGCTGCACACCTGCAAAGTCAAAGCAGAGGAATTATTACAGATACTAATTGCACAATTGATGTAAATGGAATTCATGTTTACTGGTGAGGCAATGAGTATCCTTAGGAATCTCAAATCAGAGGGGCCAAAGAGAAGGATACTCATAGTTCCATCATGCACTAATAAATCAAATGATATAATGGGACACACCGACTGTCGAAATGGTACAAGAGTCAGTGACAATGTTTTATTGGTATGAGCAATATACTGCCTATCAAGCAATGCACATGAAAGCTTATTCAAAGGTGTAAAGATTTAATTTTACAAATAATTTAGTTCTATGTTATTTCATCCTTATAATTAGAATTGATGCAATCTTGGGGGAGGGGGTGGGCTGAGCTGCTTCATCTGGATTATAACTCTGGCCCAATCTACACTGACCATTTCGGGTGGTATAGGGTTGGATCAGCCCGCTGGTGGCCACAAAATGCATGCAGGCTGATCCAGTTTAATCCTGGAAAAGCTGCTTAATGTAGTTGCACCAGAATTTGGATATTTCAGCTACAGTGGCAACAGGGCAACATAATTCCTGCTCTGCAGCCTCTCTTCTTCCTTCTAAGCCAAACAGGAGGTAGGTTGCCCTGTCACCACTATAGATGGCAGTGAAAGGAGGGAGGGGATGGTAGTTTGGCCCACGTGTAGCGGCATTGAATTAGCTTCAGTGTGGCTGGGCAGTAAGGATGCCCTATCACACTGAGACAGTTCAGGAGGATATCTTATTGAGCCGCAATGAAGACTTGAACTGGCATTTTGGATGTCAGTTAGAGCCCACGTTATGTAGCTGTGTAGACCTCCCCTCCAACAGCAATGAGTCAGATGACCAAGCTGTAAACTAGACGAGTAGTCTTATGGTTCACAAAACTGTTGTATCATATCCTGTAAACTTTAACTCAGGGATGGGGGACATGTAACCCTGAAGATTTGTTGGACTTCAACTCCATCAGCCTTAGCCAGTGTAAACCATAATGAATGACTATGCGATCTGCATTCCAACAACATCTGGCGAGCCATAGTTGTCCATCCTTCCTCTAAATGACACTCAGTTGCTGCATACAAATCTACAATTGTCAAGCAAACAAAAATTGTAGTGATCTTCCAAAAGTATGTTGCTAGATTGTAACTTAGTGTCTGGATGCACTGAGTTACAATTTAGATGTATTTCTGGCAGTAATTCAAGAGGTATTATTAATCATAAGCCAGAACTGCCAGAAAAGAGTACGGACCTCATCAGATGCAGCAAGAGAAACATCTTCTCCCTGCTTCTCTCCACTGCTGGCATGGAGTCCCATGGAGACCATCACATGAGGCAGGACTCTGTGGGGCCTCATGCCGGCAAAGTTATAGCAGCGGAGCCCTGAAAAGTCGGGTATACACCCAATTTGTCATTGAACAAGGCAAGAAGAGCTGAAGAGGAATCAGGGACAGATGGGAAAATGTCATGTGAAGGCAGAGGACAGATTCCCACAGTAGGGAACAGAGTGTGACTGATTTCCCCCACTGTCCATCACCCAAGATTTCCCCCACTGTCCGTCACTTTAGCCCTGGCCATGTGATAAGTTTCTAAGTTTAAAATGTGTATGGTTCTCTTTTCTGTGCTTCCATGTTTGGGTGCCTTATGGTCAAAATGCAGCTCATAACTATCATAATAAAAAAATAAGGTTTGTCATCATCTACATAAAAATTTTAAATTGGAAATTAGAATTCATATAATAGTTTGCCAATATCCTGTATTTTATTTTTAGATAAAGTCATTTATCAATGTTTACATGCAGCTTCCTCCTATGAATCAAAACATTATGAATCATAAGCAGGTGCCATAAGGTTATTCTCTTACAAAATATGGCCTGAATCCAGCTGTTAGTCCCAGCTAATCTAGACCAAAAGAATCAAACTAAGGCATGCAGTTTCCATTGCAATCAGTAGCTCTGTTCTTATTGAAAAAACAACTGGATTTAGGCAGGTTTCTGAGACAAAATCAATGTGTGTCTTCAAACTCACCCGCCCTTTACTATTTAGGACTTAAAAAACAACAGTTCTCCACCCAATGTCTAGATCAGTGCTTCTCAACCTTTTTTGTGACCAGGAACCACTTGGCCAGGGACCACTTTGCAAACAATGCACAAGTATCTATAATGACATAGAACAAAAATGTATGTATGTATATCTTATAAGGCTCTCAAGAGGGACCACTTTGACCAGAGACCACACTCCAACATTAGTACCAAAAGGGTTTTTGGTCAACTTTAGATTTGGCTTTGTTATTTGGGGTGAAAATTCAGAAAATTGCATTGGATAGACCTCACCAGCTCTAGTTTCTGATACAGAACATATGCCACCCAGTAGTCATCATCTGCTCACCCAAAGAAAACCATATTTACAAGGGTTATCTGGAAAGTAAGGTTACAAGGCACATAACTCTCGCAAGGAATTTTCATTGGGGAAGTTGGTATATCACTGCTGTGTAGCAGAAAGTCAGTGGAAGTGAACGAGTAGTGCTAGTTGACAGTAGCTCATTGACAGGCATTGTGGTGGTGGTTAGAGATGAGTAACCTCATTCTGTTTCCCTCCAAGTGCGAAGTTTGCGCTGTAATACGCTGCCTAAATACTAAGGATATGAACGATTGTATGATTCATCGCGAAATCGTTTCAGTTTATGGAGAGGAAGTAATGTCAAGACAGTATGTGACAAAAGGGGTATGGAATATCTTGTGAGTCCATGAAGAAATTTCACAGAGCTGTCCAAAACAAACATTGTGGGATGCTGAGGGCGGGAGTCTGTTTCCTTTATAACAATGTGCATCTGCACACCTCTCATGCAACACAAGAGTTGTTGACTTCATTAGGTTGAGATGTTTTAAGTCACCGTTCTCACCCAATCTCGCACCCAGTGACTATCATCTGCTCACTAAATTGAAGGAACACCTTGGTGGAAAACACTTTACCGAAGACGAGGAGGTGAAAATTGAAGTGACAAACTGATTGAAAAAGGCGGAGGGAAAACTTGTCCCATGGATGACAAACTGTATTGAACTGAATGGTGATTATGTGGAAAAAATAATGTAGTACCTGTGCTACAATCCATGTAAGTTTTATTAAAATATATTCATTCCTTGTATTTTTTAAAAAACGTTTTACCTTACTTTCTGGATAACCCTAATAAGCTTTGGCACTATAAGAGGGTTTTGTGAGACCAGCCAATCTTGTTGCAACAGTGTAGTAACGGTGAGACCATGGACCATATTTTAGTTCTTGCGAACCACTTGTGGTCCAGAGATCATAGATTGGGAACCGCTGGTCTAGATGAATAGCCTGTATGTACGTGTGTGTGTGTGTGTGTGTGTACATGCCTCTGAATTATACTAATCGAGCTATTTTGCAACATGTGGCAGAATGGAGTAAAAAAACAAACCCAACTTTGAGCCCTTTCGTGATACACAACATCCATTACCTGAAACAGCCTGTATGTATTTTATGACTACCCATGGACTGATCCAACTCTACAGGAGGGCTGCTTTGTTTCCAGCTCCAGTATAATAGCTCCAGTATAATATAAACTGGATTCACAGTTTATTGCTTTTAGGTCAAAGTCCTTCATTGTTTGTGGCTTTTCACACAAGTTTGTTCTCATAATACAGCCTAGTGGACCCTACTCATCACTAGGAGAGACTTCTTACTTACGATCCAGTAGATTTTGCTGTGTCAATGATGTCGTTGAGGTTATAGTCAATATCTAGAACAGGTACACAATCATTTCTTCCATTGCTGGGAATCAGCAAACAGGAGTCATTCATTGTTTGGACTTTTGGCAGGACAATGAATAGTTCATGCCACCAAACTGATCTCTCCACTTCGGATTCTGAAAACAGACACACAGGCTTTGGATCTCAATTTTTCCTTTGAATCTGGCTTAAGCAGGCTTCCCCTGTATGATGAGGTCGGGGGGGAAGCCGGGACAGTGCGGGGTGTGGCAGCTCGTGTGAGAAGCTATTTTCTCTAGGAATTTTCTGTTGTGGCCTTATGAAGAGGTAAAACTAACAAGTGGATCTGAATTTTGATCTTAATTGCAAAATGACTTTTCTTTAGCAACTTACCAGGACATTATGCAAGGACAGCTCAGAAAATTCAAGGTGGAGGAAAGAAATTTTAAAGACGCCCCATTATAATGGGAAAAATAAGCATAACAAAGCTCTTATTGCTGTTATGATTTCCCAAGAAGATGGAAGGAGGAGATAGAGTGGAAGCTGAGGTAAACCAAAGTGTTATTGCTCTATTTGTTCGGCCTTGGGAAATACTTTAGTCTGTGTTTAGACAGTTGTATTTTTCTATGTTATTTTCACACCACAATTATGGTTCCCTTCCAAAAGTGTTTTAAAATCTGTTTTCCCCTCTAGAAGACAAATCACATTAATAGTTAAACATATTTTTTAAAACATTTTTTAGAAAAATAACTTGTAACATTATTTTTAGCTGGTTTAACACTGTTTCAGTGGCCTCATTGAGGAGCCCCAGTGGCGCAATGGGTTAAACCCTTGTGCCGGCAGGACTGAAGACCGACAGGTCGGAGGTTCAAATCCGGGTAGATCACGGATGAGCTCCCTCTGTCAGTTCCAGCTCGCCATGCGGGGACATGAGAGAAGCCTCCAAAAAGAATGGTAAAACATGAAAACGTGTGAATGTCCCCTGGGCAACGTCCTTGCAGACAGCCACTTCTCTCACACCAGAAAAAACTTGCAGTAGTCTCATTTTTCACTCCAGGTCTAACTATTTTTCCACACTCTTCAGTACAATAAGTTGGCTGATTGAGTTCAGAAGTTAAAGGACTGTTTCTGTGGAGGCAATAGATGTGAAATAAATTGGTGGCATTACAAGGATCACAACAGGGATTAAGTTAGCCAGATTGTCTGATTTCCCTTTTTGGCAAGGCAGAGGTGACAATCTATGCCACCACAAATCAGCATTGCTTATTTTCAACCCACATCATTTTACATTCTCAGTTGTCTGTATTTGTCAGTTTACTTCATCTTTAAAAGATGCCTCAATTATCAACAAATAATTTATGCTAACTAGGGCATTAAGTGGTTGCCTGTCTTACTAATTTTATTATAGTGACAGTTGTTCATTTGCAACAGGGCTTTCAGAATGTATTGCTGTCGTTCTCTGGTTTGTTTGTTTTTTTAAAAGGCACAAACAACAGTTCTGTTACCCTCAACTATTTTCGGCCAATTCCTGACAGCAGCTGCAACATTTTATTTCCAACTTCAAGGGGATTTCTTTTTCATTTCTAGACATATGGGAGCAAAGTGTCCATTCCATCTCTTCCTTTCTTAAATTGTTTTCCCCTTACCATTATAATGCACCAGTGAAATATAGTTTTTGCACTGTGATGCTAAGAAGAAAAAACTTAGAAGGAAAACATTTACCTTTCAAACCATAGGATCAGCTCAGCAAACTAGTTACCAATTTTTTAAAAAATCTTTGGAAGAATCTTAATGCTAATCCACAAAATTGTTAAAAGGAGACGCAGAAAAAGCAACAAGAACCCAAGGAGCTATATTGTGAAAACAAACTCTTCTTTAGACTAGTTTGGAAGAGCTCCCAGACAGATTTTATCATCTTTTATCTCTATTTTGACTGTTTCTTTCATAGCTAACCCCATGAAAAGTCAGGTACCCATTCCTCCCCATTTCCCTACTCTGAAGGTGAATCTGCAACAACCTCCTGAATACATCCACATGGAAGAATTATAGCAGTTTGACACCAATTTTACTGTCATGACTGTGTTGTATAAAATCCTTGAATTTGTAGTTCGTGAGATATTTATTTCTGACAGAAAAAGAGTATATATTTCACAAAGCTACAAATCCCAGAATCCCATAGCATTGCACCATGACAGTTAATGTGGTGTCAAACTGCTATAACTCTGCAGTGTGGATACGGCCCTCATGTTTTGCCCCTTCCCGTCTTCCTATGAAAATGGCAGTGAGATCCCCTTCTTTCTCATTTGAAAACTCACCATCCAGCCACTTCAGAGAAGTCATGTTGAGTGAATAGACAGTGACACCCTGCTTGGTCTCTTCCTTTTTGAGGGTGTAACTGTAATATGGATCATGTTCCTTCACGTAGACATCCAGGGCCTTCTTCTGTTCACACATCCACACAGAAGGCAAGACGGTTGCCATGAGGAGAAAGAGGAGCACCATTCCAGAATCCCCAAACAGGTTCCTGGGAACCTAACCTTGAAAAAGGTACCCGCCTGGTGTCTTGGTTCTGTTTGCACACCAGTAGGTGGAAGGTGTCTACAAGCTGCGGCAATGTAGCCCAACAAAGCTTTGCTCTCTAGGGCAGGTCCCTCAATGAAAGGCAACCTTGTCCTTTCCCAGTATTTTTAAAGACATGCTTTGTAGGCAGGGCCCTGAATCATCACTACAGTGTTTATGCAAATGGAGTCCAATCATAAGGGGAAGGCTGCACCAAACATTCTTGGCTAGTTTCGAGGAAGAGTCATAGCTAGAGTGGAGGCTGTAGGTCCTGCTGTATGTATCCATCTGATTTTGATCATCAGTTTGTCCCAGCTGTAGCTTTCTTTGTTACAAGAGGATTTAAATTTATAGTTCTGCTTACCTGCTTTTAAATGGCAATTTTTCAGCCTTTTTCAGACTAGCTTTGATCCTAGCAAAATAATCAAAACTCATGCTGTAGTGAGTCTCCTATTGGTGAAAATGAAGACCTTCATTTTCTGAAGCTTATTGAAGGCAGTTGGGGGTTTGATTTTCATCAGAACAACAACCAGAAAAACAACTTTGGATATCCATTCTAGGATATATGCCAGAAACGGGTACTGTGGAGGAGGAAAGTGTCTATATTATTTCTTGTCGAACTACCCAATGGCTTTTGTTCTGGACTGTCTCTTGCAAAATGAAGCTTATAAGGAGGCTACTTTAGAGCACAGTAGTCCATTGATGTCTGCTAGGTTTGGTTTCAGGACCCCCAGGGATACTGAAATCTGTGGATGCTCCAGTCCCATTACAGTACACTCTTGCTTATCCAACCTTCTCTCATCCAATATTCTGTATTATCCAATACAGTCTGGTTTCCATTGGGATCCACAGTTGTTTCAATACATTGCAATGTTTTGGTGCTAAATTCGTAAATCAGTAATTACTACATAATGTTACCATGTATTGAACTGCTTTTTCTGTCAATTTGTTGTAAGGCATGATGTTTTGGTGCTTAATTTGTAAAATCATAACGTAATTTGACATTTAATAAGCTTTCCCTTAATCCCTATTTATTATTTTATCCAACATTTTTGCTTATCCAATGTTCTGCCGGCCCGTTTATGTTGGATAAGCAAGACTCTACTGTTTATAAAAAATGGTGTAATAAAATAGTGTCAGTGATGTAAAGTGGAAAAAATCAAGGTTTGCTTTTTGGAATTGAGGGAGAGAAGCGGAAATATTTTCAAGGCAAGGATAATAAAATACACCTGTACAAAAGCCATGATACCAAGGGCTGACTATACTTCTAGCTCTCTTTGAAGATAAGTTTTAAATAGTGGTACTGGGAGATTAATTTCACCCTTTTGACCTATGTTGTTCTTCAAGGTATGAACTTATTCACTTTTCTTTTGTAGGCATGTTTGAAGCCACCAGTATACATTTGTCTAGTTGTCTTGAATGGGGTTTCACTGACATGCTGTGTGGATGCTGCCAAAAAAAAAAAGGAGAGAGAGTTTTCAGAGCTCCTAGTAAAATAGCATTATGGACCTGTTCTGTCTTTCTTTCCTTAAGAGGGTTTCTTTTTTCTGCTATGAAAAAAACAGATGGGGAAACTTGGCTTTCTAATAGACTGTGACAATAGATTGTATCCTACTGTAAAATCCACTCCATTGCAATGCAGGTTGATTGCAGCATAATTTATTGGGAGTCACCCAATGTCACTTTGCTCTTGCCTGCCCAGAGGCCATAGGTGGTTCTGAGTCAGTGATGATTTGGATAAGGACAAATTGAAGCTCACTCTGCAAAGTGGCAGCATGTCAACTTATTAATCCCAGAGTTGCATTCCACCCTGCCTGGCTTCAGCTCAGGCTCGATGCCATCCAGCTGCAGAGGTCCAATTGGTTGGCTCAAAGAGAATCTTGTAGCTGGAAAGACTTTTCAGGAGCAGCATAAAAGGGCTGGCATTTGTAACAGTGCACTGTTGGAAGCAGTCATTATGTTGGTTATTATGTTATGGTCACCTGCGTAATTCCCATTTCTGTTCTGAGTCATCCTGATGCCAAATTATTTTTTCTATTATCTTTGTCTTGCCCCCCCCCCCTTTGCACAGCACCTCATTGTTTTTATTATATTTTTACTATTTTGATATGAAATCTAGAAAAAAATTATATCCCCATACTTTCCCACTGTTTGATGGGACATATTACAGGATATTATACTACTTTTATCTCAGTTTCCACAGAGCATGTGTGATTGCAAACTATAACACTATCATCATAGATTAGGTTACAAAAATCTGGACACTTCTTTGTATAGTCCCAGAAAAATCTGATAGCCATCAGATGCTTTGGTTTCTGATATAATTGCCATCATATCAAGTGTTGTGAAATCTTAAGTTTATTTTTGACTTACATGGGTATCACCTTCTGTATTTAATATGGAAAACTGCTCCTTAAAAATACCATACAATTGGTACTTATTTTATTAATTCCTGGAAATATCATGTTTCTCTTTATGTAATTTTCAGCCTATGCATTCTTCCATCTTGGCATGGTGTCAGTATTGTCTTAGCGCGCTTTCTTATCTCTTATAATTTTAAGCAGTTTCAAGCTTTTAGAACATGTATCCATGATTATTATGATGTGGATTTAAGTGTTTTGGTTTGTGCTTGTTTCTTGTTTACATTGTGTGTATTCCCATATAAATGGGAACATAGTAGTGAAGGTGCTATAAAAGTGTGTAGGTTTGTTTATGCCTAGTAGCATAACTCTCAACAAAAGAGTTATGCTACTAGGTAGCTACCATAACGTAGCAGAATGCAAGAGTCAGAATCAGTCTCCCCATATTTATTTCATGAGGAAAGCCTGACATTCTCTCATTGCAAACTAAATGTAAAGTACGATCACATACGACCTCATCATATGAGAGCAAATTCGGCAGCATGCGCCGGTTTGCCTATCCTTTTACGATGGAGCCTGCTAGGTCCCATCCCACAACACACTGCAACTTCCGATGGGGCTCCGTCATAACAAGGAAGATGAACCAGTGCTTCTGTGTTGCCTTGGATCAATGGGGGGAAGCCAGACAAGGATGAGGATGTGGGTGAGTTGTGCGATATAGGGAGTGGGAGGATGGTGGTGATTCTGGCAGCCTTTGTGATGAGGTCCATTGTGAGTGGGTATAGCCCTTGCCTTCTGTGGAAAGTGGGAATCATTGTGTAACAAATGTTGATACAACGGGCGTGATACCAACTCCACCCCATGACTATCAAAATCTGCAGATGTTCAAGTGCCTTTATACACAATGAGATAGTAAAACGGTATTCATTGTATACAATGATAAAAACAAGTTTTGCTTTTGGGTATTATGGGGGAATAGCCATGGATGGTTGGGTCCATGAATATGAAAGTCCAACACTATATCAGTTTGTGAGGAAATAGCTCTTGGAACACTTTTAAAAATGGTTAGGGACATTGAAAAATATAAGATCCAAAAAGGAAATTTAAAACCAACATGGTGACAGAGACAGGCCTGTAGCGAGGGGGGGGGGGTTTAGGGGTTCAACCCCCCCCCCCCGAAATGTTTCAGATTTTTTTAAAAAAACCTGGTTTACTCATGAATTTAACTGGTTAACCAAATCCCCATGCTAAGTCTATGAGACGCAAAAAAATTCGAGTCCCTCCAGAACTGCAAGCACTATCTCAAGCAAATATTGACAATTTATTCACACTGTCATTACTTGCAGCAATAGCCGATGTAGCGAAGCAACCAAGTTGGGGGGGGGGGGTTGAATGCTCTCATTAAGGAGGCCAGACTTGGTGGAGGTGGTTGACAGGGGCGGAGCTGCAGGCTATTGAAGGCTGCTCTGCCCCTGCTGTGCTCTTTGCTTCAGCGTGAGCTAGGAGGCAGGTTTCACCCCCCCCCTCGAAATTTTCAAACCCCCCCCCCAATTTTCAACCCTCTCCCAAAAAATTTTCTGGCTACGGACAAAGAGCTGATATTTTATGACTGCTTTCCCACAAAGCATAACATGAAAAAATATTGGGGCCTTAACATAACTGAAACACCAGTGTGCCTAGACCTTGAAATGCAACAGTTGGTGACGGGAATATACATGGGCATTTTTTTTTGCTAGAAACTCCATTACTTTCTGTTTTACAGACTTCGGAATCAATGAATGGGATGTCAATGCAGACAGATTCTTGCAAGATGTGGCAGTTGATAGTTGATGTCAGAAGAACATCATCGGAGAGAATGTTCCTTGGCAGTTGAGCAGCTTCCAGTTGGAGGAATCTGAACCTCTCTGTGACTTTGTTCAAGGGAAAAGGTTTAGGCTGTAGTTCCCTGATCTGCATTTGCTCTCAGATGTAAGGTACTCATATTTTATATGAGTTAAGAATAGCCTTGTAAGTATTCTTATTTATCTAAATGGCTGACCTAGTAAATTATGACTTAAGGATGAAACTGAAATGACATGTGACATATCTTCTCATAGATTTTTTTAAAATCACACTTTCTTGAATGTAACTGCTGACAAATCTGAAAACAGTGGCAACTGAGGAGAACTTTTAGTTCTGAGCATGTACCCAATCAAAACTGTGTTTGAAAGATTCTCCCTACTTATAGAGACAAGATACTGGGTTCACAGTTTTTCTCCGACATGTAGAACAAGAACTCAGCTGACATACTCTTTGTTAATCCCAGCTAGACTAGACGCATTTTGTTAGTTCCAACTAAACTAACCAACTGTTGAATGGTGAATCAATAAATATATGACTTTAATTGATTAAAGGGTCGAATTGAGTCAGGAATAAAAGATCATTGTAATTTGCATTACCTTAGTAGTATTGTAGTCTTGATTTTTTTTCATGGTCTTTATTGGACATATCTCATTTGTAGTGCAAAAAAAAAAAAGGAAAAAGGAAGAAGGAAGGAAGAACAAAATATTTTAAATGAAGAACAATTTTAACCAACATAAACTTAACAGTATTTCAGTGGAAGATCCCAGGGCCCAACCCATCCAGCCTCCTTTTGCCATGCAGGAAAAGCACAATCAAAGCACTTGCTTTTAGGGCAAGGAAAGTGAGGAAAAAGCTTTTGGCAGCAAGGGAGGTGGGGGAAAGGTGGGGAGAGGGAGAAGAAGGAGCGGGAAAGAGGAGGGAAAGCTTGGGGGAGAGGGGAAGGGGAAGGAGGGAGGAGGAAAGCCCCGAGTTCCCAAGTTTGCTTCACGGAGCCCACTTTAAGAACTGCTGGTCTATTCAAATAGCTTTTCCAATGCTGCCCAGTTTTCCATTTTACCATTTTGGAGGTGAGGGAGGCAAGGAGGGGGAGGAGGAGGAGCAAGAAAGAGGAGGGAAAGCTTAGAGGGGGAGGGGGAAGGGAG